GGTCCGGGGCGGGGGATGGAGCCTGGGCGCGGGCCGGGCACGCGGGGCTCCGGAGATGCGGAGGTCGGGGATGCGGAGGTCTGGGCCGGGGGACCCGGGCGGCGGCCCTTGGCTGGGCAGGGGGTCCTTGGTATGTGGGTGCGCGGGGGGCCCTGGGGCGCACGGCCCCAGCTGGTATCCCAGACCCTGGGCGAGGTCTGCCAGGGCACCACCTTGTAAGGGGGTCGCAGACACCTGCTCCTGGCCTGGGGCGGGAGTGCGCGGCTCTCGGGCACGGAGGGGCTCAGACGATGGGGTGACAGTGCGAACTGAGGGTCTCCGCACTGAGTTGGGGTACCAGGCGTGGGATAGTGCCTCGTATGGAGGTGTCTTGTCTTTGCGCGGTGGAGAGGATGCCCGGCGCAGTCCTGGCTAGGGGACTGGGCTATGCGTCTTTAGATAGGGGCAGAGGAGCGAATGTCTTTCCAGGGTCAGTGAAGAGGATGGGTCCAAAGTATCCACAGACCTAAGTCCCAGGGTGAAACTCACTAACGGGGTTGCCCGGCTGAAGTGTTGGCATTTGGGGTGTTGCAGTAATGTGGGGGTGGGTAGTCCTAGGGAGCCTGGAAGTTGGGGTGCTGGGCTGAGGATGTGGTATAGATCTGGATGGAGAGATAAAATGAGGACGGACAGGGGCCCCTCAAGAAGGTAGGACAGGAAGAGTTAACGCAGGGCAGGGTCAAAGGGTTGTTTGTCCTGCCTGGCCAGTGGGGCTGGGGGATGGTCTGTAGTTGAGCCCCAGGGTGTGGAGGAGTCCTGCTCAGAGGATGTGTCTGGACTGTGTCTCCCCTGCAGGGCCTGTCTCCTGGGATGAACTGGGAGAGGGAGAGACACAAGGCTAAACTGTGGGTACCCAAGAGGCCAGAAATGTGCTCTGGATACCCACCGCCAATCTAACCAATCACCACACAGTCAGGGGCCACTGGGGACAGTAGTCCCCAGCACTGTGACCCCAGCAGTTCCCGGGAGACAGCCACTCTGGGCCTCCAATCAAGCTTTGCACAGGCACACAAACAACGTCACAGCATCCCGCACTTGCAGAAACCCACAGTCACAGGCAGCCCAGTCCACACTGGCCGCCCACGCACAGATCCACTTGGGGAGAGTGTGGATCCTGCCTGCGGCTGGCTCACCCAAGCACAAGGCTGACCAGCATGGTGCCTCTGTCCTGTCACTTTAGGACTGTTTGGCTGGTTGTGTGTGTGTGTGTGTGTGTGTGTGTGTGTGTGTGTGTGTCCATCTCAGATCTTTGCTGGTGTCATTCTGTCTCTGGGCCATCTCTCCATCCCTGCTTGCTCTCTGCACAGGGGCACAGCTGCCTCAAACTGTTGTTCCCCATTGCTCCCCGCATGTGAGTTCCTCTCTCCCCACTGTACTCCTTGCTCACATCTGTGCCCTCCCCTTCTTGACCACCTCCTCTCCCCATCACTGCATCTTTGTGACCCCTGACACCTCCTCCCCATCTCTCTTCTCATTTCTGGCTTTCACTCTTCCAGAAAGTGTTACTGCATTTGCATCCTGAGGTGGGCACAGCTGGCAAAACCACAGGACCTCGGTCAAATCCCCTTCTTTGACCTTAGGTTCCCCAGTCTGAAAACAGGGTGAGGGAGGGTGGGATGGAGTGCGGGGTCTGAGGTGAAATCAGGCAGGAGCCCCATTCATAACCCACTGCTGCTTTGAGGGAAAAAAAAGCAAAACCTCATTTTGCAAAGTTTGCAAAATACTGTCCTTTTGCTTTTATCCACGGTGCTCTTTAACTTCCAAGAGGAACTCGCACGTGCCAATCCCATGCGGGTTCCCCGCCCCCCCCCCAGCCTCCTCATGCACATTCTTCAGTGTTTTTGAGTCAGAGTCTCACTGCGTAGCCCAAGCTGGCTTGGAGCTCAAGGCAAGCCTCCTGCCTCAGCCTGTCAGGTGCTGGAATGACAGGTGTGACCCATGGCGCCCTCCAACTCTTCCTGTTCTGTTTTGGAGGCAGGGTCTCAACGTGCAACATGTGGCTAGCCTGGAATTCCCTTTGTGGATGAGGCAGGCCTCCAACTGGAGGCAGCTTCCTACCTCTACCTCCCAGGACTTGGGATTATGGACATGGGCTATCATAAGCAGTTCTCTCTCTGTCTCTCTGTCTCTCTCTGTCTCTCTGTCTCTGTCTGTCTCTCTGTCTCTCTCTGTGTCTCTCTGTCTCTGTCTCTGTCTCTCTCTCTCTCTCTCTCTCTCACACACACACACACACACACACACACACACACACACACACACACACTGGTGGTCAGCAGCCCTCAGGAAAGGGATCTTCTGCTCCTTTCACTGACTCACTCCATGCAGAGTTCACTGCACAGCAAAGAGAGGACTGGTTGGCCCTTCTTACTGTTTTTTTACTAAAATAGAACATGGATGCATTGCTCAACCTCTGGCATATATCCACCTAACAAAACCTCCCTGGCATTAATAACTACGACTCCACTTTTAATTTTCTTCCCCCAAATCCTTTATGCCAACACGGCCCACAGGCTTATTTATATATTCATTCACAAAAGTAGCTACTGTAGCTGGGGATGTGGCTCAGTTGGTACAGCGCTTGCCTAGCAAGCACTGGCGGGGAGTGGTTGGGGGGAGGGTTCCATCCCCACCACTGAGTAAGCTGGGCTTGGAGGTGTGCCTCTGTAATCCCAGCATTCAGCAGGTAGAGGCGGGATGATCAGAAGTTCAAGGTCATCCTTGTACTGGGGTTAGCCTGGGCTACTTGAGACTGTCCCAAAGCTAATTGTATCATAAATAATTCAATACTTTGGGTGAGTTAGGGGGTCTGTTGCTCCTGGGGTGGCTGGAGGGGTTAGAGCAATATGGCGAAAGCAGAGCGACCAGCAGCACTCTGTGCCCCTGTGCTGGGCAGTGCCTCCACAGTCCCTTTTTATTTGGTTTTGGTTTTTAGTTTTCCAAAAATATTTTATTACATTTACATATTTGTGTGTTTATCTGTGTGTGTGTGTGTGTGTGTGTTGTGTGTGCATGTTTAGTTAGAGAACAACTTGTAAGAGTTGTTGTGGGTCTCAGGAATCGAATCAGGTCATCAGGCTTGGTGGCAAGCACATTTACCTGCTGAGCCATCTCATCAACCGAGACAGGGTCTCACTCTAGCTCAAGCTGGCCTGGAACTCAGCAGATAGTTCAGGTTCGTCTTGAACTTGTGGGAATTCTCCTGCCTCAGCTTCCTCAGTGGCAGGATTACAAGCATGCGCCACTATGCCTGGCTTCTTTGCCTAGCAAATATTGATGGTATATGCTGTCATTCTAGGGAGTGCGCCAGACCAAATACGCAAATGCTTCCCCACAGAGTTTATAGTGGGAAGGAGAGAGATCAAAAGTCAGTTACAAAATCTAGCAAACAAGTAAATAGTTCATTTCGCTTCAGTGTCAAATGGGAAGAGATGGAAAAGTGCCTTGGGGGATGGGTTGGCCATTTGAGAGCTGGGGTGGTCCAGGAAGTCATCCCTAGGAAGGTGAGAGAGGGATTAAGACCTGAAGTAGGAAGAGGAGCCAACCTTGGACAGGTCCCTGGGAAACAGCAAGTACAAAGGCTCTGAGAGCCCCATTGCAGGAGAAAGATGTTGCATGCTGTACCCAGACTCCAGGCTCTGAGCCCAGTTTCTGGACTCCACAGGTGTCACCTTGGTAAAGACACCCAGGCTTCTGCGCTCAGCAGAGTCCAGGACTCTTGTCAGGTCGGATCTGCAGCCCTTCCCAGCCAGAGCCACAGACCTACCAGTCCCTTCCCATCTGCCCCCTGGGCAGCCTACAGGAACTCCCACATAGCCTCTGGGCCTCGGAGTCCCCCTGCCCCCCCGCCCCCCATGGCCTCTAGGATGTGGAATCAGAACATTCTAGCCCCAGTCCACACCCAAGGGTCCGAGCTTTGCCTGAGGTTCATCGAAGAACCCAGAAGATCCTCCAACCTCTGGTCATGGGGTGGTCATGGGCGTTGTCAGAAATCTCTCCCCTGCCTGTGACCTCCATTCTTTGATTTCTTCTGCTATTTGCACTGGAAATCCCACAAGGGACCTGAGAGAGCCCTGAACCCACCAGATGCCTCCTTGCTGTTCTGAACCCTTGAGTTACCATTCTCATTTGATTTACTTATTGCTTTATTTATTAGAGACAAGGTCTCACTGTGTAACTCAAGCTGGCCTGAAGTGAACTGGAACTTAGCCCAGGCTGACCTCAAGTATAGGGGCAGTACTCCTGCCTCACTTCCCAAGTGCTCAAATTACAGGTGTGAGGTACCATGCCTGCCTCCCAGAATATCTCCTTTACTCTGCCCCGCATCCCTGTAAGGGAGGAAGGCTTACTTCCACTTATCTGTTCATGGGGAAACTGAGTCTCAGGGGGTGAAGGGACTTTTGTACCTGAGGGGCAGAGGTGGGTATTAATCCTGGTATCCAACTTTTTCTCCAGGCTGGGGGGTGAGCTAGGGTGGGGTTGCCAGGGAAGTAGACAGTGCATCGTGCAGGAGTCACATAGCTCAGAATCATCAGCCAACCAGACAGCCCTGTGCCCACCCCACCCGGAGAGACTGACGCCAGACCAATGGGGACAGTAGACGGTTCTTAAAAAAGAAGGTGCTGCTAGGGACCGCCCGTGCTTCCTGGGTCCTTTTCCAGGCCAGGAGCTGAGCTAAGCTTGCTTGTGCATTCAGCAGGCACCAACCTCACTCCTGCAGTGCATTCTTACCTTCCTTTTCTTCAGTCGAGGAACCCGAGATTCGGCCCGTCAGACAGACGTTCAATCAGCAAGTGGGGTGGGGGGCACTTGGCATCCCAGCCTAGGCTCCTTAGGGATCTGCCAGTGTCTGGAGACCTTCCACTTCCTCTCCACAAACACTTTCCTGCTCTGAGCAAGGTACAGTCCTGGGGTGTACAGACAGGAAGCACGCATTCGGAAAACTCCAGGTCAGGTGAGGGAGGCACTGTAGACGATGTCTAAATCAGGCACCTAGAATAGGGGGCAGGGACTCTGCCCTGAGCAGTCTTGGGGTCCCTCTGGAGGAAGGGGGTAGGCATTGTAGAGTTGAAGAGGCGCCAGCATCTGTGTTTATATTCAACAACTAGGGACTCTGGTGGGAGCTGGGAGATGCTGGGGGTACAGATCTGAGGCAGAAAGAGACTCTGACCCCCCAAACAGGGGACATAGACACCATGTGCAATCTAAGTTCGGGCAGAGAGTGTCCAGGCTCTGTGGGAGGGCACACCGGGCCTGGTGGAGTCTGGAAGTGTTCCTAGTATGGTTCCCACACTGGTACACTAAGCATCTTCTGTGGGCCTGGAGAGATGGCTCAGAGGTTAAGAGCACTGGCTGCTCTTGCAGATGACTCAACTCAGGTTCAGTTCCCAGCACCCACATGGCAGCTCACAATTGTCTGTAACTTCAGTTCTAGGGGATCTGATGCCCTCTTCTGACCTCTGTGGGCATTGCATAACACCGGTGCCCTTACAGTGAGGAAAACACTCATACACATAAGTTAAAATTTAAAAAATAGCCAGGCATGGTGGTGCATGCCTTTAATCCCAGCACTTGGGAGGCAGAGGCAGGCCGATCTCTGTGAGTTCAAGGCCAGCCTGGTCTACATAGTGAGTTCCAGAACAGCTGGGGCTACAGGAAGACCCTGTCTCAAAAAGACAAAAAAAAATAACAAAATTTTTTTTATTATTTTATTTTATGTGTATGAGAATATTGCCTGCATGTATATCCATGCACCTGTGTCATGTGATGCCCACAGAGGTAAGAAGAAGGCGTTGGATCCCCTGGAACTGGAGTTACAGATGGTTGTTAGTTGCCATGTGGAATGAAACTCAAGTCCTCTGCAAGGGCAGCCAGTACTCTTAACCACTGAGCTTTCTCTCCAGTCCACAAATAAAAGTATTTTTAAAAACATCTTTTGAGGCTTGCGGTGGACCAGGCACTGAGCTGGGCCATGCTGTAGCCTGGAGGAGACCTTAGTACAGCCACAATCAGGGCATCTAGGACAGACAGGACGACCCAGGCCCAGTGGACTCCTATTTTTGAATTTGTTTTTATTGTGTGTGTTTTGCCTGCATGTATGTAAACACACATGTATGCAAAGCCTGCAGAGGCCAGAAGAGGGTGTTGGATCTCCTGGAACTGGAGTTATGGACAGTTGTTAGCCACCATGTGGGCGCTGGGAATCGAACCCAAGAGCAGCCAGTACTCTTAGCCACTGAGCCATCTCGCCAATCCTCCCTTCACCCCCAGCAGGCCTTTAAGATCAGCCCTGACCTGACCTCTGCTCTCTTTGGATGAAGCCTAGAGACAGAAAGGATGTTACACAGCACCTGATCCCAGAGTCTGGGGGTGAGGGGGTTAGTGATACAGGATATGAAGACCTGGGTTTTCCATATTCACAGACCAGATGCCAAAGGCTCACCCGGGGTGGGTTCATTAACCTGTCTCCTTGATTCAAGGTGACCTGATCTGAGCCAGGGCTGGAGTTCCCCTGGGCCACTGGAGGAGGAAAAGGGATTTGATGGCTCAGCAGGGGGAGGAGCGGAGATAAAGACACACAGCTGAGCCCCACACAAGTCAGGGGAAGCAGGAGGGTGACTCCAGGACCTGATAGGCAGGCCTTGGGCCCAGGGGCCTATGGGAGCTACAGAAGGGGTCTCGTCAGCATTGACAAAGATTCCTGCGGCAAGGGTATCTCTGTGTCAGTCTGTGGCCTGCCAGGGCCTGCGGCTGGGGTCCTGCCTGTCCCTGGGGACTCCAATCCCCACCAAGGCCTTGGTTTGCAGGTTCAGCCCTTGTGTTTGGTGTTTGGGTCTGTGGACAGCTCCTGGGTTTCCCCATTTGACTTCCTTTCCTCTAGCAAGGTCTGTGGGTGTCTTGTGTTGTTGTCACTGTGAGGTGGAGGGAGTGCTGCCATCGTTAGGAACCCTTCCAGACATACTACAGTGGTGAGAAAGCTCTGCCAAGCTTGGAGGTCCTGGCCTAGGACACTACCAGGAGCTTGGCATCCTGTAGTGTGTGTGTTGGTCTTTGCCAGCCTAGGAAAAGGTCCTGAATTGATTGGCATAGTTCTTGATCTTCCTTTGATCCAGATGTTCTGGTCTGTTGCTGACTAGGTGTGTGTGTTTGTATCTGTGTGTGTCTGTGTACACGTGTGTGTATGGTCATGCATGACCTGACTGTGACAGTCTGATTCCGTGCACTTGATTCTCAGCCTAGGGTGACCCTTGTGTGTTGGAACGGATGTAACATTGTGGCTAGTACCTTCCCCAAGTGCTATCTTTGTATGTGTGGGACCCAGGAGCTTCCAAAGTGAGACCAGGGAGTGTCTGCTGGGGTTTGGTAATGCTACGGCAGTGTGTGTGTGTGTGTGTGTGTGTGTGTGTGTGTGTGTGTGTATGTCTATGTCTGTGTCTGTGTCTGTGTCTGTGTCTGTGTCTGTGTCTGTGTCTGTGTGTCCAGTGCTCTGGGTGAGGAGACTCTGCGGCTGTGTATAGAAGGCAGTCAGTAGTCAGTTGTCAGCGGAACTACATGGGGAAGAGTGGCGTTGGTGGGGTGACTTGGTGCTCCAGGGCTGTTTGGCCTGAGGTGTCCCTCTGTGGCTGAGCGTGACCTCTCTGCTCTTAGAAGACAGCTGTTGCCTCCTCCTGACCTGCCAGGCATGTGTCTGGGGCTGTGGCTGTCCCTCCAAGCTGGGCTGTAGCTGTGTGTGTGAATCAGGAGCTGGGCTGGCCTTGGCTCTGTGTATGTGTCCCCGACCCTGGTGGGTTATGTATGTGTGTACACATCCCATTGTTTCCAAAACCATGTGTGGGGCGTCCCCTGTGTGGGCTCCTTGAAGCGCAGCTGCGGTCAGGCGTCTGAGAGGCCCCAGCCCCAGGCAGCTTGCTCCTTGCTCTGCTGGCTTTGTCCAGGCCCCATCCCAAGGGGCTGCTGATGGAGAGGCCCCCGGGAGTCACTGGGGCATCACGGGCAATTAATTCATTAGATTAATTAGCTCCTCTTCCCAGGCTGGGGGCAGGGCAAACCTACTCAGGGCCCTCCTGTTCCAAGCATCCAAGGTCATGCAGCCAGGCCTCCTCCCAGGACCTGCTCCTCTGCCTCCACATGCCCAGCTCCCACTCCCGGGCCCTGGTCCAGCCCTCTGGCCACGGTCCACAGATACATGAATAGTGGCTTGATGGGGCTGCCTGGTGTGTGCAGGCAGGCGTGGGTGTGCACTGTGGACACAGACATGCTGAGTGTGTGCCTGGCAGGTGTGTGTGTGTGTGTGTGTGTATGTGTGTGTGTGTGCAGCCACACACCATGCAAAAAGGTGTTTACCAGTGACAGGTGTGCATGCACAAGCCTGTGTTGTGTATCTGTGAACACCATGCTCTGTATATCTGCCCCTGTGGGTCTGAGTTAATGTGTGTGCATCTGTGTTTACACACACATGTATGCACATTTGCTGCACACATTTCTTATGTATTCACATGCACTGTATGTTCATCAGTCTATATATGTACATGAGCACATGCTTCTGTGTACACACGTACGCACCTGTGTACATGTGTATCTTATGTATATTCACTGGCACCTGTAATGATAGTGTGTCTGTATATGAGCAATCTGTGCACCTGTGTGTATCTATGCATTGTGTGACTTTTCCTGGGGAAATAATAAAAAGGGCTAACCTCAGGTAGGGCACAAACAAGACCAAGGAAATTCTTCTGAAGCACAAGGGTGGCTCTGTCAACTGAGAAGTGCAATTGGGTTACCCACAGGAGCCTGGGTGAGAGTAATTTACAGGTGAGCCCCCCCACCCCTCCCCGGGACAGGGGCTCCTGAGAGACTACCTTGTGAGCTGCTGTGCTGCCTCTGCCCCTTGTACTTTGTGAGCCCTTCGTCCACGTCCACGAGGGCCCAGTTGTGCAAAGGTCTCCAGTGGGTAATCACATGACTTCAAGACCACAGCCATGCCAGAGGGCAGCATCCCATTTTATGTAACTGGGACTCTGCACTTACTGACCTGTCTCCAAACATGTTTTTAGATGAGTACGTGGCCTGTCTACTCTGCAGTTGAGTGCATAGATTAGTCTGTGTGCCTGTGCCAGGGTATTTTCTGTGTGCACACGTGTATCTGTGGTATGTGTGTGGGTGCACGGGTGTCTCCGAACACACGTATCGGTGTGCATATGTGCATGTGTCTTTATGTACATGTGTCAGGGGCATGATTGGGTGTCTCTACAGGTGTAATGTTCCATGTGAGTTCTAGCCCATCTATGGTCACAGCAGGCCCAGAGGTGAGGATGTGGCCCTCATGTCTCCTCTGAGTGTGTGTGCTGTGTGTGAATTTCTGAAAACAATAAATTCATGTGGTAGTGGGTGCAGATGTCTGTGTCACCGTGTGTGCACCATGGCCAGCCCAGTCCTGGCTGCCAAGGCTGAGCTGGCCCCTCCTCCCACAGGGCTGCTGTCCCAGAGCCTGGAATTCAGCTCGCCTGCAGACAACTACACAGTGTGTGAAGGTGACAACGCCACCCTCAGGTAGAGCCCACAGCAGGGCAGCGTGGGACCTCACGGGGCTGGCCGTCACCCCTGCCTTGGGTAACACCCACAGCGGGAGCCAGGCTGTGAGGAGTGTGGATTTACTGAAGCCCAGCTTCGCCCTGGCCTCAGTGTCCAAGGAGAGGGATGGCACCCACTTGGCTTCAAAGCTGTGCAGAAACCATGCATGCTGTATCGGAGAGGGTCGTTGGTTCTTGGACCCTGCCCACCACACTCAGGGGCCCTGTCTCCTCCTCAGAGTCCCTGTCCCCCCATCTGGATTACTGACCCTCTCTCACACTCCCCAGTCTCTCTGCGTTCTCTTTCTCCCCCCGCCCTAGTCTTTGTTCTTTTCTTTCTCTAGATCACTGTCCCTCTCTGGATTTCTCTGTCTGTCCATCTTTGGGTCTCTGTCCCTCCCTCTCTTGAAGTCTCTGTTCCCTTCTTTCTGGGTCTCTATCTCTCTGGGTCTCTCTCTGTCTCTCTGTCTCTGACTCTGTCTGTCTCTCTGGGTCTCTGTCTCTCTGTCTCTGTCTCTCTGGTTCTCTGTCTCTCTGTCTTTGTCTCTGTCTCTCTGTCCCTGTCTCTCTGCCTCTCTTTGTACCTCTTCCTGCTCCTCTCTCTTTCCTGGTGGCTGTCCCCCCCCCCTTCCCTCCTCTCTGGGTCTCTGTCCTTCTCTCTCTGGGTGTCTGTCTCTGTCTCTTTCACCCCCCACCCCAGCACACAACTGTCACTCAGGAGTCCTCAGCTGCCAGCGCCAGGGCTCATCTGCCTTTCCTGAGGCTCAGTTTACCTTCCTGTTCAGGGGGCACAGCAAGGTCTGCCTCCCAGGGCAGCAGTGGGGCCTGGAGCCGTGCAGAGGTGGACGGGAAATCCCTGCCTTCCTCTGCCCTCTCACCTGCAGCTGCTTCATCGACGAGCACGTCACCCGCGTGGCCTGGCTGAACCGCTCCAATATCCTGTACGCTGGCAATGACCGATGGACCAGCGACCCCCGGGTGCGGCTGCTCATCAACACACCCGAAGAGTTCTCCATCCTCATCACCCAGGTGGGGCTCGGCGATGAGGGCCTCTACACCTGCTCCTTCCAGACCCGCCACCAGCCGTACACCACTCAGGTCTACCTCATCGTGCATGGTGAGCCCTGGGTGGAGAAGATGAAGGGCAGAGTGGGAGGGGACAGGAGGCTCGTGGGATTGTGGGGTGAGAAGGCTCCATTGATTCGGCCGCTTTACGTCCACGCACTCTGTTCAGTGCTGGTCCCAGCCCTGGGACAGGAGGGAGTGGAACACAAGTATACCCCGGCCGGGAGATGTCAGCCAGGTACTGTGGGGAGTCTCACCACTGTGGATCGCCATCAGGGAGGTTCTTGGACGGGAAAAGTGGGGGCCTGGAGCTCAGAGGAAGCAAAGAACTTGCTGAGAGAGTCCACCGTGGGCAAGGCTGGCACTCAGGACAAACCTGGCTGTCCCTCACCTTTACAGGAGTTCCTGAGGAGAGGCTCAGGGGATTCCCAGGCATGAGGGGTCTGAACTCTGGGTGTGAGGGAGGAAGCTGGGGTCTGGAATCTTGAGGGAGGGGGGCCAGGGTCCCTGGGTCTGAGGGAAGAGGCTGGGGTCTGAAAGAGGAGGACCAGATCTCGATCCCTGGGTCCAAGACAGGAGAGCTGGTGTCTATAATCTTGGACCAGAGGGAAGAGAGCTAGATGTCAATTCCTGGAGCTGAGGGAGGAGGGCCAGGCCTGGACACCTGGGTCTGAGGCAGTGGGACTCAGGCCTGGGTGGCTGGAACTCACCCTCACTGCCCCTCTCTACCTCAGTGCCCGCCCGCATCGTGAACATCTCCTCTCCTGTGACGGTGAACGAAGGGGGCAATGTGAACCTGCTCTGCCTGGCTGTGGGGCGGCCAGAGCCCACAGTCACCTGGAGGCAGCTTCGAGGTGAAGATCCTCCCCTGGCTACAGTCTGGGCCCCTTAATTTTACCATGTCTGCAGTTGGGGTCCCATACCCTCCTCCCCTCTGAGCCCCTCTAGCCCTCCCAGTAACTTGATTTCCCCTTCCACTCTGATGCCCAGTTCTTAGCAGACTCTTGGCACCTTAGCTGATGGCTTCCCAACCACAGCCAAGGCTGGGCCCTTGTCTTCACAGTCCAGCTCAGCTTCCCTCCACCTGGATGGGTTCTCCTGACTCAGGTCCCCTCTCTAGCTTCCCTAAACCAGGTCTGCAGCCAACACCCTGCCATTCTGCTGCCTCCCAGTCCCATCCCCTCCTCTGCTGTGGTCTGAAAGCATACCCCCAGACCTGAAATTGGCAATCCCTGGGAATTCCAGAAATGCACATTCTCAGGCCCCAGCCCAGATCCAGAGGCAACCAGGAGCTTCCTTTACCCCTACCCACAGTTCCCTGTAAAGGTAGCTCCAAGCTGCCTGGCACATATCAGCCCAGGGCTGGGACACCACCCATCACCACATCTCCATCCCCAGGTCCCCAGAGTCTGGCTCTTTCTGCCCTGCATCTTTGCAGGTACAAAGTGCTAATCCCTGGGTCCCTGGAACCCAGTCCAGCTTCATGTCCCAGCTTCCTTTCTGTGTCCTTGATGTCTTCTGAGCCCTAGAACCCTGGGTACCCTAAGTCCTAGGTGGTCTTCTGTGACCACAGATCTGCCAAAAGACCTCAGATGCCTGGATCCCCATCACCAGATCTGGGTCTGAATCTGAATTTCCTGGATTCTTGAAATCCAAAAGCCAAGATCCTGGGTTCACTCCCTGCCCCCAAATGGGTCCCCTGAGCGCGCTGATCCCAGGATCCCTAGCTCTCCTGCACCCCAAAATTCCACCCCCCTCCCAATTGGGTTCCCAGCTCCCAGAGCCCCATCCTCACTCCTGCCCCACCCCCACAGGCCCCTCCCGGCTCCTACTGATCTGGGCACTCCAGGCTTTGCTGTGCCCGCCCCGCTGATGTGTGTCCGTGTTGTGCCCGTGTTGTCCCGTGTTAAGTGTTTGTGTCCGGCCCCTCCCCCTCCTCCCCTCCTTCCCCACAGATGGCTTCACCTCTGAGGGCGAGATCTTGGAGATCTCCGACATCCAGCGAGGCCAGGCCGGGGAGTACGAGTGTGTGACTCACAACGGGGTCAACTCTGCGCCCGACAGCCGCCGGGTGCTGGTCACCGTGAACTGTGAGCAGGAGGGGAGCGCGCGGGGCCGCCCTGGGTACCTGGGGAGGAGGGTCTATCTCCGGGAATTGGAAGCTGGGCGGGACTCTAGGTCAGAGGCAGGAGGGAGCTGGGGGCGGGAGTCCGTAATCTCCTGGCAGCTAGAATGCGCGCCGGCTTCTGTCCCTCGCCAGATCCCCCGACCATCACCGACGTGACCAGCGCGCGCACAGCCCTGGGCCGGGCCGCCCTCCTACGCTGCGAAGCCATGGCGGTGCCACCCGCAGACTTCCAGTGGTACAAAGACGACAGGCTGTAAGGACTGCGCTGGGCCGGGCAGGGGGCAGGACGGGGGGCGGGGGAAGGGAGCGCGGCCCTGGACCTCTTGGATCCCAGGATTCTCCTGGGGCGGAGAATCAGGAGGTGGAAAAGTTCAGTCTCAGTTCCTAAGAGACCAGGTGCGACTTTCTAGGTTATGGGATCTGCGGACCCCAGCCAGGCTACCTTGGGGTACCTTGGGCCCCAATAGGATGAATGCTGGGATTGGGTCCCCTGGGAGACGGGCGGGGGGGGGGGCGGAGATCGATGCTGCGG